ATGCTTGGTAAATGTTTATTGAATTCTAGCTTTTTCCAAAAAACATTATCATTTGACAGAAACTGCTCTCTCTAAAGCTGCTAGTGATTCCTTAATTGTCAAATCAAGTAACCTTTTCTCAGTTCTCTTTCTTGAGCTCTGCAGCACTGGTATTTGTTGACTACTCTTTCTTCTTTGGATTCCTCTTTTGGAACCCCAAATTCAGGTTTGACCATGTTACCTCCTACTCAATAAATTCCTGCAACTTCCTATTACCTTTAGGATCAAATATAAATTCTGTTTTGGGTGTTAAAAGTTCTTTATAAACCAACCCCTTTCTTCTATTCTAGTCTTCTTATACTTTACTTCCATTCACAAATTCTGCTTTTCAACCAAAGTGACCTACTTGCTGTTTCTTTTACACAGTGCTCCATCTTCCATCACCATAACTGCAATACTCACCCACCTCACCTTAGCCTCTCTGAGGAACTGGCTCCCTTCAGGATACAGCCCTAAGTGAAGCCTTTTCTGTTTCCTGATCTCCGTAGCTATCAGTGCCTTCCCTTCTAAGGTTAATTTGTATTTGCTTTATATGTATCTTGAATGTATGTGTACGTGCATGCATTTATGTGCGTGCTGTCTCCACATTAGAATGTGAGTTCCTAGAGGCAAGAACTGGTTTTGCTTTTCCTCTGTACCCCCAACACTTAGCACAGAGCCTTGCACATAGTAAGCACTTAAATGCTTGTTGATTATTTGCATTGAGGACCTTTCTAGCTGATGCCTTTTAGAAAGATTTGGATAGACCTGAAAAAGGTTGGGAGCATATTAGGGAGATAGCTAGAGCTATGTAGTGGACAGAATATAGACCTGGATTCAGCAGACCTGAATTCTTTTCTTGGTTTGGTGACTGACTGACTGTGTGTGCTTGGTCAAGTCTTTTTATTTTTCTATGTACCTGACAGGTTGTTATAAAGCACTACGAAAATCTGACTCTTATTATCTATCTCTCCTATATATCAGGATGCAATTTCTTAATTTTTCAAATGTTTTCTCTTTGTAGAAGAACTATATTGAAATTTAGTCTGAAAAGATGAAGGCTTATGTGTCTTCCACGTTTTACCAGGGTGTCAGTTGTTGAAAGGTGCTAGTTAACCAGTGCTAGTACATTTTTTTAAATAGGTAGTGAACTTGAGATTTGTTTAACAGCACCAAGCATAGTAACATTTACTATTTGTTTCTAAGATGTATTTACTTGCTTCATTTTTGCAGAGGGTTCTACTGCAAATTCAAAATTGATAGGAGCCACAAAAAAAGATTGTGCTACAGTTTTCTAGCATGACAGTTGGTAGGTGTTTATTGAATACTCCACTATGTTTCTTGCACTGTCAAAAAATGTATTATCTTTCATTATACCTCTTTTCAGTGGGAGGTGGTTTTTATTTGGTTCTGGTCAGAAACTCTGAGGATCTTCCCCTAGCAGACTGATTCTTTTGTGAAGGTAAACTAGGCCATTTTTGTCTCAATTCTTACCTAGCCTTTAATCACTGAATGGGTGTTATCCTAGAAAAACTGAGACCTGGGAAAGACCTTAGCTTAAAAAGGCCAAGGTCTCCTGCTGCATCTGCAGCCATCGCCAGTGGTCCAGACCTATGTCTTGACACTAGACTCCAAAGACTCTGGAAGAGTCAGTGAGACAGATGACCCTGCACAGCCCTGCCTCACTTCAATCCAATTCACTCGCAAGTCAAGACACTCCTGATGTCATGGATCCTCTTCAAGAACAAAGGACGAACAGCAACAATAGTTTTTGTTTACTGAAGGAGAGAGAATAACAACCAAAATTTTGTAGCACTTTAGAGTTTGCAAGACACTTTACTTATAATGCCTGTATCAGGTACATAGGGAAAGTATTATTCCCATTTTATAGCTGAGGAAAATGAGATTAGTAGAAGTCAATTACCAGAAGCAAGGCACTTCACTTTCAGTGGTCAGTGATCATGGAGATATTTTTAGTGCATCCAGAAATCCTATTTTCTATTTCAAGTCTTGTTTTTTATCCACTACACTGTAGTGGTTGGTGGAGGCTGGGGGAGGGGAGCACCACTTTCAGAAGTCAGTGTAGAATATTTTCTTCTTTACTTTTGGATTTTTTTTCTCTTTCTGTCCTAAAACTAAGGTTAATACAGAATAGTACAGTTAATGTAAGGTATTACTAACTAGTGGTAGTCACATTAAACCAGACCCCAGTTACCCAGATAGGTGTTAACAATTTAAAAATTGTAGAGATTAAGAGCTTCTGACCTTGCTTAGGTTTTAGAGCCCTAGGTGTTTCCCATTTGTTTATAGATTAATTATTCACTCTAGTCAGCCAGGTATAGCACACTGGATAGAATTATGGGCTTGGGGTCAGGAAGTACTGAGTTCAGATTTGTCCTCAGACGTTTACTAGCACTGTGATCCTGGGCAAGTCACTTAACTTCTTGTCTCATTTTCCTTATATGTAAAATTGGGATAATACTAGTACCAGCTTCCCAGGGTTGTTGTGTGGATCAAATAAAGTAATATTTATAAAGCAGTTTGCAAACCTTAAAGTACTATATAAATCCTAGTTCTTCTTGTTTGTTGTTGTTATTATAGTAATTATTATCTATTAGTTACTTAAGAGTGAATTTAGAGGTGGGATGATGAGAAGAGGATCTAGAGCT